ATACGAATGTAACTAAATACTAATGTATTATAAATACTGTCTGTTTGTTTGTTAAGTTTTCATTTCTTACCCGCTGAACCGTTTGTGATGAATTTTAGTATGCATATAAATGAAGCCTAGGAAAAGGACTTGGGCTTCTTTTTATCCCGATTATCCGTTGACACAATCCCAATACTACGCGGGTGGAACAATGAAGTGGAAGCAGTTCAGGTTCAGTGGCCATAGTGACAGAGAACAACTGTGATGTACACGCAGACGGAGCCGCGGCCAAGAGAAAGTTACTATTATAATTACAATCTTTTATTTATTTATTTAATCATTATGATGTGTCGGAAGCATTCAGTTAATTTAATAAAAATAAAAATATTGATAAATGAACATAAACAATGATTCACCTTTACTATAAATAATAACAGAATAATATTAAATATTCAACGGTACATACCGTCACACTACTATCGTACATCAGCTACATACACTTCTCTTCATAGAAGGTTTCCTCTCGTCCGCAGACCACGTCTTAACAGACGCTCCACCAACAGGTTCGACCCTCATCTTGAATTATATATTCTCACGAGTCCTGAAACGTTACAAATAATACTATTTTTATACATTAATTGTTAACAAACTTACCAACTTACATTAAGAAGTCGCATTTCAGGGCGTGGCCGAAAATTGTAAAGATAATAGTTAAAATAAAAAAAAGGAAGCCATCAAAACGATAACGTTAAAAAACCCTGCGCCCAATGTATGTAACACTTAGGAAATAATTCAAAATTCCTACCATATACTACACAATAAAATAAACACTAATATGTTTAATTATGTATACAGTAGTATCTCTAATGACGGAACTAATAGTTGTCATAAGGGATTTCAGATAATCAATTAAATGATGAGAAGACATATTTGAACATCTTAGGTTTAAATGTAGATGATGATCACTCATCTGAGTTTATATCCGTATTTACTTAAAAAGGAATCAGGTTATCTAAAACCGGGATTAATGTTTATTAAAAGACAAAAAATATACATATTTGAAGAAAATATGAAATAAATCTCGATATTTGCAAATCTAGTGAATCTGTGGTTTAAATTTATATTGTATTTAAAATGCTTTATGCTGTATTATAATTTAAAAGTTAATAAAGCAATCATAGTTAGTTAATATTAAGCTTAGTTATATGCCTGTAACTTACCTTTAGGAAATAATAATTGAGAGGAATTAGGAGAACTCCTTTGTAGCTGAACTTGATTCATATTTAAACCCAAGTTGTGATTACAAGATGCATCATTGTCTTCTTTTTGTGTATCAAGTTATCAATACATTTTTCAGTTTCAACAGAATGTGATGAGTGTACAGTCTCAAATGCTGATGCTGCTAAATAAAATATATTTTTAATACAAATAAATATAGTAAAAGAAAAGTTAAATGAAAAATCTTAAAATTGAATGACAACATATTGTCTTGATTGTATTTTCCTTCCTTGTTTCTTTTAGAGTTTCTGATTGAATGTAAATAGACTTGTAATTTTACATAAAAAAAAACTATAAACAACTTTTATTGGTTTGTAGTTATCCAATGAAATTATAATCTCTGCATATTTAGAAAACTTTGTTTTTGTTTTACTTATGTAAACAAGTGACACAAGTAGTTATTTTGTGATACTGTTTGTAGGCACTTTCCTTTATTTAGATAAAAAAAAGGTAATAAAGACCGCACATTATAAATCTATCAAACCACATGTAAGTATATAAAAATGTTAAGATGACTTGTATACCTATTTCATTATATTCAATTAAATCTAATTTTTTTGTTTTTAATTTTTAATTATGAGTATCAATTTCTAAAGTAAAATAATAATAATGTAAAATGTTATCCATGGTTATAAAGTATAATTGATTATTTATAGTTATTTTATATTAGTAGTATGTATTGTGTGCCTATAACTACTTGGGAAGTTGCTTACTTTAGATACTTACTTAAGAATAGAGCTGGTACAACATTTCGAGTGAGTCATTTACTTAAAGAATGGTAAAACTGTTCAAAATGACGATCACGTTAAGAATCTTCCTTTTGTTTCATGTCTTCATTTGAAATATTTTTCCATTGAATGAATTTCTCCAAATTTTGGTATTCAGGTTTAGGAAATTGATGAAAAGGACCTGAAAAGTTTTTTTTAGTAGAAGTCAATAAACTGTTACGATTGAAATTGATGTAACAAGAGTAGTAATTGATTGCATATAATATGACAAATAAGAATTTTATAGATTTTACTAAATAAGTATCGTACCTTTAGTCGCACACCGAAAATAACACTTAAATTTTCGTAGCATTTTTTCAACTTATCGGTAATCCAAATTCGTAGTTTGCAATCAAAATCCAAATGAGAAGAGCCGGTGTCGATCGTAGTCGCAGAAAACAAAGTCGAATTGAGAAAAGCCGGGGTCGATCGTCAAAAGGGTAGAAATAGGAGTCAATGATATATTAAGCCGGGTCAAATGTTTGAAAAAGAACGTACAGCACAAGAAGAAAAGTAAACGACGGCAAATGAACAACTGAAATAATTTAAAATATGTCCTAATGTCAAATCGATTTGAGAGCTACATACGACATCTATGAAGTTATGAAGGAAAATAGTGTCAAAGTTGTTGTGCTTCGTTCGTTAGATGGCAGCATTTTCTATACATTAATTTCTTAAACACGTTAATTATACGACAGATTCATCCAGTGTTGCCAACCGAAACGATTTAAATCGTATTTATACGACCTTTTTGACTCTTGTACGATGTACGATCGAGTTATCGAAATCGTATGCACAATATACGATTTTTTAAATGATCTCCTACGAAAAAAATATACCTCCAATAAAACTATAAGGAATATGTAAAACTAAACTTTGTACTATAACTATAACTAACTATATTTAGTACTATACTATAACTATAAGGAATATGTAAAACTAAACTATATTCCAGAAACGGTAATTAAGAATTTCGCAGTGGTTTTAGTGTGTAGGGGCCTGCCCAGGCCGAGCCTCACACATCCCTCCCGGCTCCACCAAGGCCGGTTGGATGGCCCGTAAAAAGAGTTTCCACTACGTCATCAAAAAAAAATTATTAAAGAAAAAGGATCGTGTATAAACTTCAAGCCATGTGACGATATGCTGAGCAAATTAAATTTAAGTATGTATGTATGAACAAAAAATACAGGGTGACTGGTGGATTACTATATAACATAAATATTAATAAACTTCTAAGTAAAGTTAACCAAAAGTTATGTAATTAATTACGCATCGTATGAACACCCTACAGATTAGGTATACACACACACTTACACAGACGCGGCGGCGGTGTAGTGTTGTATCAACACGCCGCCGCACGCGGCCACACTTAGAACACTTGGAACGTGTACACACTTTATTTATTTATACGGAAATTTGGTCAAAAATTAAGTACCTATTTTTTTTTTACATAATTCGAATGAGAATCATGTACCGAGTATGCTCCTTAAATATTGATAGTAATTCACCAGTCACCCTGTATAATGCTTTTCCCGCACCTTCTGTGCTTAATAATTCAGATTGTGACTAAAGCAATTAATTTTTTTTTTCTGTTTTCAAAATATATGTTATTAATGAATATCTTAATTCCACATATTAATTGATAATTAATGTTAATTGAAAATTAAAATTATTTTCATTTTTATTTGATATACTTACGAAGTTTTATTGAAATTTCATCGCGTACTCTTTTTTTCTTGAATTTCAAGACAAAATACTATTTTTTTTAGTCTATAGTACGATTATCTAAAAAAATAAAGTTGGCAACACTGGTTTCATCCCCATTCCCCATGATTCTTAGTCACTTAGTGTGGCCAACCAGACGTCTCGTTTATTGTTAGTTTTTAAATTTTATCAATTTCCATTTTATGATTTTACTATTAATTGCTTTCAAAATTCATTTCTCATGTTTCTCCAGTCCTTCCGGCTCCCTCTGGTGCCTCTGGTGGCAGTCGGCCGCGGCCTTTCTTATGATGGATGTGTTTTACGTCGGTTATCTTCATGGTGAGTGTTTTTTTTGCACATAGGTACTAATAAATGTTACTTTTTATTTTATTGACATTACGTTCAAATGCAAATGTTTATTAAGTAACATTTTTAGTTTTGGTTAATATTAGTGTTTATTATCTGTAGTGATAAGAGTAGTAGTTTATTTTAATAGTATATTTTGAATTATTCTCTAAGCGTAACATTGACCGGAGGGTTTTTCAACGTTATATCGTTTCAATGGTCTTCTTTATTATTATGTTTTTCACTCTTTAAAATGCGACTTCTTGTAAGTCGAATATTTAAGTAAGAAATCTATTGTCATTATATAAACTAGAATCATTCGTTACGTTCCAGGACTCGTGAGAATATATAATTCAAGATGAGGGTCGAAGCTGTTGGTGGTGTGTCTTTTAGGACGTGGTCTGCGGACGAGAGGAACCCTTCTTTGAAGAGAAGTGTATGTAGCTGATGTACTATAGTAGTGTGTCGGTAAGGTCTGTTGGTTACTTTGTTTTAAGTTATATTGTACATTTCTCCATAATGTATCTCTTATATTGAGTAAACCGTTATCGACACGATTCATTTTATAATTCCTCATGTGCTGTTGATATTATATATAATGAAATCCTTATGCTGCTTTCTAGAATAGTCGCCTGGGACTGACTGAGTTCAAGTTTGTATCAACACAAAAATATATACTAGCTGCGCCCCGCGGTGTTACCCGCGGATTTCCGGGATGTAAAGTAGCCTATGTGTTATTCCTGGATGTAAAGTAGCCTATGTGTGCTTCCTGTATACAAAATATTATCAAAATCGGTTTGCCGTTTGAGTGTGAAGAATTAACAAACTTACACGCACACTTACAAACTCTTTGCAATTATAATATTAGTAGAATTGAAAATCTTCTCTGTCTCTTTATTAATTTCATTGAATATTTACAGCAAAAGATTGCGGCGAAGGGATTCAAAGGTAGACAAAGAAAAATCAGTGGCCAAAGACAAAGAAAAACCTGAAACGAAGAAGGACAACGAAGAGGACTGCATCACCATCAGTGACGATGAAGAAGGTGACACATAACACACGACCCGTGAAGTTAACACAACACACGGCCGATTAAATGTAGCAAACATGAACCATTTGAATTACAGACCATCACTGCTGAAATAACTTTTGATGTGTTGACATTCATTATGATAATATTACAACATTAATCCCTCAAAAGTTTCTCCTTTTCAAAGTTAATAAAACGTTTACCAGGAAAATAATTTCAGGGCTTAACTGTTAAAAATTATATAGATTTTTTTTGTACTTAAAATTAAAATTTTAGATGGTTTTTTTTTTTCATAATAATTGGAATAATTGATAGTTCTATTTTATGTAAGCTTGTAATTCCATGTGTTTTAATGTGAGTAGGTATATAAACTTGTTTGAAATGTCCCCATTAGAAATTATTTGTTTGCAAGAAAATTGATCTGTATAGATCTGTCAAGTTTTCTCTTCTGATTTCAACCCAAACAAAATATCTTCTATGTGTATAGACAAATTAGGTCATAGTCTCCATCAATTCTTGTATACAGTTTTGTTTATGGAGCCATCTATTGTGTAATATATCAATATTATTTTCACTGCTTCATAGCCTGCAGTTCTTCCAATATGTGTAAGATAATATGTGAAATTCTACTGTCTCTACTATTACTATTGTATCTTATGTGAATAGAATATTATATACTATATAGTAAATTATTAAAATTAATAATTAAATCTAATTGCAGTTCGAGAACCTTCGAATTTCACAGCCGCTGCTGGGATGGGAGCAAATGAATTAATCAAAATACTTATAGGTGAGGAAAATGTCATGGCAATAGATTCCTAACATGTAGTACAGTTCACATTTAAATTAAACCTTATATAGGTCATACATTTATAGTCAAACATTTAAGGTTTTAAATTTCTTCGAGATCACTTTTCACTAGTCATTTTCATAGGGAGCCAATAAGTACACTTCATATAGACTTTATATATAAAGGCTATTGTCCACTTAGTATGGGGACTTTGGCCTGACATGAACAGACATTTCGTCATATTTTTTGTAATTAGTTTAAAAGCACTAACTAGTAATAATGACAATATGAACTTAATTTTGTATCAAAATGTTTAAAAAGAGATTTCTATCATGTGAGGAAAAACAGGTTAAAGCGAAATAAAACAACATTTTTTATGATTTAAATTTATTCTGAGACATCATATGTTAGTAATATGTATTCAAGAAATTAGACAGTTGGTGAAATGTGTTCCTGATACCTTGCTCAACTTAAAAACTATAAAATAGTCATTATATGACAGCAACCCACTGTCCTTCGGCCTATCATGCAATTACAATAACATTCTTTTATAGCTTCTTAACCATTGTGATTATTTTTATATAATATATATATATAAAATATATTTTTCGACTTACATGCCTGCTTTGTATTTTTCCACGCAATAATCTGCAGTTGGCCAAAGGAATCGGGTAGTCAACCAATAGGTAGCTGGCTATATTTCTACATACTTCTATAGTATAGGAACCATCGCCTCTTATGTGCTGCCCATAATATGACCAAGTTTGTTTTAGTTGGTATGTTCCACATGCAATTTTTATAATATAATTATATTCTATTCTTGGAAATATGAAACTATCCATGTTTACATTTATAGGTTGAAAATCTGCCCGCCTTCTATTTAAATTATTTTCGATAACAAAGTCAGCTAATGTGTTAGGGCTAAACATCTTTTCATTTATTATAATACAACAGTATATAAGGATTATAATTATATAAAACAATAAAACCTCATATTGCATTATAGGAATAGCATATACAATACATATCTATTAAAAAACGAGTGATTTAAATAATTAATTGAATTGACACTTAGTCGCAGAGGAGCTATCCACTGTCTTATAATAGACTGAACCTGATAAAGATCTAGACTATGTCGCCTTCGCTCTATCAAATCAGTTCCACAGTTTATGCATCTCAGAGATACGGATTGGTAAGAAGTCACTTCTTATGTGTGCAGACTATCATGAGACACGTTTTGGTTTTGTTCAATATCCATATTCAAGCCGTGGTTAGCAATGGAGCTAGTTGCGGGGTCAATATTACGTGAGTGTTGGTCATCGGAGTCCATAATACAAAAGCCAGGGTCATCGTTTGAGCGAAACTCGGGGTCCGTAGATGTGCCGGGGTCATTGTAAAAAGATAGGTCGGAGTCCATAATGAATAAACAATCGTTGAAAGAAAATCCACAATAAATCAACACTCAATGAAGGTAAACAAAGCGAATGTAAGCAAATCAGTCTGTGACATATCAATGTCAATTTGTATTTTTTTGTTTTATTAGTGTTGCAATAGAAAAAAATCATAAAAAAATTCGATCGAAAACAGATATGATTACGTTTAACATTCTTCGTATTTCAGTTTATAAAACGTTTTAAATGACGAAACTAATTACAGACATTTATATATATTTTTTTTTATTAAATACTTATACTTGTATTAAGTACTGCAAGATGATTCGATTAGACGCAATCGTTAATTGATTTTGCTGGTAACACAAACCGTGGATCAATAAAGCAAATCAATGAAGATACTTTAAAAATATTTTTTCAATAAAATACAAATGTACACTCAAACAACAATAGAATGGCTAGCAAAAAAAATTATATTTTTTCATAAACTTGTTTTTTAATTTTTTGATAGCAGCTTGTTCACGCTAGGCCAAAAATGGACATTGCCCTTTATTATCAATTGAGTCTGAATATCATGGGTAATATGAAGTTAATATATTATTAAATAATGGTAGAGAGAGGAGGTTGGACAGTGCAGGTGAGCGTTTAACGCGCGTTAGATAGGGGCCCCTTAAACCTAAACCTGGGTCACAAGTCACAGTCACTGTTGAAGTTCCTTTCACTACACCGATGGACCCGACACACGCTCCGTGAATACATTGAATAATGATTTGAATTGTTAATGTTATATTTCCAGGTCTGTCCGTAGTCTGTTCGGTGAGGATGAAGCCTGCTACATCATGGACGCCAAGGTTCAAGGGAATATTGGAAGATATCTAAATGTAAGGGAATGTACGATAACACGGGTCTTATAAGACCGACTGTGGTGTGATCTGTGTGTAGAGTAAGGTTGCCATTGAGAGAGATGAAACATTGACAATAGAATTATTTATCTTCAGTATTTAATATGTTATCACAACACAATGCGAGTAACTGTAAAGTGCTTTGTTGAGGTTTCTGATATAAACAAATATATGATAACAAGTCAACCAATGATATAAGCGAACATAGCACCAAGCGTTAGTAACACTAAGCGTGATCTGTGACTTGTGTTGTATAGTATGAGGAATGAACTGACTAGGGGTCGGTTACAAACACTTGTCTTGATGGAAGTCTTACTATTACACTGTGCAGAAAGGTTCAAATGTCTTCAACGTCCTTATTCCTGCAAACATTCGTCCAAGTGTATCACAACCTAGCACCTCCTTCGTTCCAACACTAACCGGTCTGTTCCCACTGCCCCACACCTCCTTCGTTCCAACACTAACCGGTCTGTTCCCACTGCCCCTTACCTCCTTCGTTCCAACACTAACCGGTCTGTTCCCACTGCCCCACACCTCCTTCATTCCAACACTAACCGGTCTGTTCCCACTGCCCCAAACCTCCTTCATTCCAACACTAACCGGTCTGTTCCCACTGCCCCACACCTCCTTCATTCCAACACTAACCGGTCTGTTCCCACTGCCCCAAACCTCCTTCATTCCAACACTAACCGGTCTGTTCCCACTGCCCCACACCTCCTTCATTCCAACACTAACCGGTCTGTTCCCACTGCCCCACACCTCCTTCGTTCCAACACTAACCTGTCTGTTCCCACTGCCCCACACCTCCTTCGTTCCAACACTAACCTGTCTGTTCCCACTGCCCCACACCTCCTTCGTTCCAACACTAACCGGTCTGTTCGCACTGCCCAGCACTCGTGCGTGCCGAGCGTGTTCGTGGACACGCACGACCCTCGCTTCCCGTGGGTGTCTTTCTTCGCTCTCCGCGCGGTGCGGGCCGGGGGCGAGCTCACGTGGAACTACAACTACGACGTGGGTTCCGTGCCCGGGAAGGTCCTCTACTGTTACTGCGGAGCCCCAACGTGTCGCGGCCAGCTGCTGTGACCTACCCCACTCGTAAACACCTTGGACTTCATTACTGTATAAATGGGACTAATAAAATGTATGAAACATTTGGCAGCTTTATTCCACCCCCAATTTTTTTTATAATTAGCCATATAAGCTGATTGAGTATAAAAATGCTAGCATTATTTAGTTAGCACTTGAGTAAGTATTAAGTAAGTATTTTATTATTGCTATTGGTGTATATAGAAAAACTATATAAATGTAAAGAATAGACCCGCGGTAATACATTATATTGGTTAAAAGGGAAAATCTACTTAATTTTGTTTTTTCGCAGTAGAAGTTTTTGAATTTATGGGTGTATGTGGTATGATCAAACCGGTTTTTCTATCTGGCTACTGCTAAAGTGTATTATTTTTAGAGTATTTTCGGTTCGCTTTTACATAGAAGTCTGTCGAAGATTTTGGAGGGAGCTAATTGGTCTTTATTCCAATCACAGTGCCTTTCCAATTCCCGTTTAAACTTAAAATTTTTCGTTATTACCATTAGAGCTTTATCATACAATAAATATAATTCGTGTGTAGTAGTTTAACAAGAATGAATTATCTTTTAATTTAATTCGAAACTCCGAGAAGGAAAGTAAGGAAAATAGAAAAAACTAGCTGAAGCAAAAGTTCAGGTGTCTAAATCTATTTTCCGTTTCAAACCTGGTACTTTAACTACAAATAATAAAATAATTAATTATTACTATTACTTGTTACATAATTAGTATATGAAACCCAAAAAATATTAATATTTGTGCATTTTTTTCGAGTTTCTTGGAATACAAATTCTTGATAATATTCGATTATTTTTTTATTTTAACGTTTAACTTTTCTTATACAGTACTACAGCATTGCTAATGCTATTGATCTTATGAATTGTAACCTTAAATCGATTAGTGAGTGGAGCAAGTCATACGGATTAGCGTTAAATGCCAGTAAGTCACAGTTAGCTATAGATGGCAATCCAAAACAACTTTCAAAACTTAGTCAAGTTTATGTTCCTCCCGTATTGTTTGACAGTACAACTTTGATCAATAATAATATTGTCACCAACTTAGGTCTTATAATTGATAATAAATTTTCTTGGACAGAGCAAGTGTCAAATCTAAGTCGGAAAATGTTTGCAGCTATTGGCTCATTGAGAAGGTGGAAGAAGTTGTTGCCAATCAAAACTAAAATTTATCTTTCGAATGCACTTCTTCTTCCCATTCTAGATTACGCAGATGTATGCTACTTAGGTCTATCCGAGGAGCTACTTGATAAGCTGGAAAGGTTGCAAAACATGTGCATACGATTTATTTTTGGATTAAAAAAATTTGACCACATCTCTGAATATCGTGCACGACTTGGATGGCTTACAGTCAGACAAAGACGTAACTTGCATGCCCTTTCTCTTCTTTACTCTATTCTTTTCTTTCCCCAAACTCCAACTTATCTCAAAGAACGCTTTTCCTTTCTTGGCTCTAATTCTTCTCTTCATCTTAATCTTCGTTCTCTATCGGACAATAAACTTCAGTTGCCCCTTAGCCAGTCACATTGTTACAGTGATTCTTTTACCGTCAAATCTATAAAATTATGGAATGCGCTTCCACATGACATAAGAATGTCACAGTCTTTAAATATATTTAAAAGTCGAGTCAAGCTTCATTATATGTCACTGTAACTACTCCTTTTTATACTATATATATACTAGTAAACCTGGCGAACTCCGTTTCGCCACCAGAAGGCTTTTATATAACATTTCGTTTGGTGATTAAAAGATGAAGAATTTTTTGTTTTATATTTGAAAAGGAAAATTTTTATTTCATTTCACAACAGTAATGAATTCATTTCGATTACAAAAATGAAGTGTTATTTAGTTGAACTTCTCTAAGTAAATGAAAGTGAATCCAAAGTAGATACCGAATCGAAGCGTTATACGTGTCCGCAAATTATCCGTTTCATTGAAGTGCTCCTTTGTAAACCACATTTTTTGTTTTTTGGTCTAACTTTAACACAAATAAAGCGTATGGTTTCCAAACTCGTGAACATACAAAATATAACTACCCATGTGAAAAACAATGATTTTCTAAATTTATCCCGCAAATACTAAATGGTTTTAAGAGTTCAAACTACTAACACATTACCTAAATATTTTTATTTTTATATAGTAGATTTCTTACAAATATCTAATTGTCATCCATACGTCATTACATATCTGTCATTATACGTCAATTGCATAGCTGTCAATTGTGTTATTCCACGTTTTATAGTGACTGACGTTTCATGTCAAGTCCCACGGGAATGCTGTCGAACTTGATAAAAAGTATCCTATTGGAATTTCCTGGTTCTAAACTACCTCCCTGCCAATTTTCAGCTGAATCGGTTCAGCCGTTCTTGGGTTATAAGTGAAGTCACTAACACGACTTTCTTTTATATATATAGATATATATATATATATATTTTATGTATGTATATATGTATGTATGTATGTATGTATTTAATATGTATGTATATATGTATATATAATTATTTGTGTGTATGTATACTCTGGTATATGTATTTGTTTTTTTTACGTTCTTGTGTATGTACATATCATAATATGCACTACCCTTTCTATAATATTTGTTATCCTCATCGGTTGGGTTGCCTGTAAGAGATCGCTTTTAGTGATAAGGCCGCCCTTGCCTTAAATTTTCTGTTTTTGTTTGTAATGTTATTTCCTATATGTTTAAGTGCAATAAAGTTTATTTCTTCTTCTACAGTACATTAATTAAGAGGGCGTTCCCGTTCATCCGCAAGAGTATAACATCCATTCATGCTAAAGAAATATAACCAATCTAAAACAAAATGTTTTTTTATTTAAAAAAAACTCTACGTACACGCATACTTGAAGAAAGGCATCGTCGCAATTTATTTATGAATGACGGGCCGCGTGTGCGACGATCGATTGATCTACGATATTAAAATGTCGCCCCGCCCCCTCCCCGTAAAAATATAAAAGATTTGTTTATAGTTTTCTTAAATTTACTTAACATTATATGGGTCCTATATAGCGTGTTCTAAAAACTGTGTCCTTCCTTAAAGATTATTGTATACATATAAGTATAAGCTTATTATTAAAAATAGTATGACTTAAAAAATATGAAGCAGAGGTCAATTACAGTGCATAGGCTAAATAAGTTTTAAATCGACATTATTTGACATCCGACCCATAAACGGTTAAAAGGCGCCGTATAGTCGCTCCGGCGCACGCGCGGCCATTCATCGCAGGCGCCGGGCTGCCGGCGTGGCGCGAGGCGGCATTTGTTAGTTCTTCGAATAGAGATTTGCAAGTTTAAAAGTTAGGTATATCGATAAATATTCTATCGATATTTTCAATATTGCTATTTATAATAGTTATGCTTTTCACAATAAAATAATTTCATTTAAAATAACTTTTATTAATAATATATTAATCAATATTATAATTTGGAACTTCTTCAAGTAAATTAACTATGTTGTATTATTAGGATAAATCGTTAATCTATTTCTGTTAAAAATGGTGTTTTACAATCAAAAATAATATTAATGTTTGATATATCAAAATAAGTATCTAAATAATATGAATATTAAATATTGATTTATTGTTATGATTTTTTAAATATCGATATTTTTTATTCGAGCCTACCCCGCCCTTTTAATAAAAATTCGTGGAAATTTCTTTCGAGTGGATTACTTACTTTTTGGTTGCGGTTTTATAAAGTTGTGTTATTTTATAAAATGTATTCCAATCAGGAATATTTCTGTGTGTTAATGTGTCTAGTGAAATGTGATTATGTGTCTAGTGAAAAGTGATTATTATAATTGTGTGTAATTATGCGGAATCGCGTAGACTTTATGACGAACTGTTTGCTTCTCCAAGAAACATACCATTACCGTCACTTAAGGCATTTGAGCGTCTTCATATACGCATGTACAATTTCGGAAATGTCGATGGCCGTGAACAACAACGTGCTAATGAGAGAAGGCCGAGGGTTAATAATGACGATCTGGAGGAACACATATTAGATATTTTTTCGACAGGACCCTACGGAAAGCACGCGTGGACATCTACTCATCATCACTATACGCGTTTTAGTTAACTAAGTGTTATTTTAAATTGATTTGTAACATAGTGAAACGTATCGATATTTGAAAAAAAGTGGTATCAGTGAATCGTTAAAGTGATTAAACAATCAAAATAATGTGAATGTGCGTTCGAGTCCGTCACTGGTAGCGCAGCAGGTGTGATGGTGGTAAATTATTTAATATTTAATTTTATTATTTGTATTGAAGATTTTGTAAATGTAAGTTGTTTCGATACTGATAACGTAGTTAAGAGGGTTGACACAATTTTTCATACACACTGTAGGTATATTAGTTTGAGCATTGCGCCTGAACATTTTCTTGACATCTTGACCTGCGGACCTTGCTTTTAGATATATGTCGCATCGCAGAGTAATAATGTGTGTCGAAAACAAAACACTATATACTTTGTGGAATAGAGCATAAATAACGTGACGGAACAGCGATTGAAAAATGATACAAGATGGTGCTGCAGGTGTTGATAATTAAAATGCACAGTCTGGTCTATTTATTTATATTGTTTGACTGGCCACGATCGATTGGACTAACGATCGCGCTCGACCGGTTGGCCACCCCTGGTTTACACTATAGTAGAAGCAATTAATAAAACGCGGTTATTTTCGAGGTACAGTTTCAGATTTGTTTTTCAATGTTCGTTGTTACTTCCAGTAATGTCCTGCATAATGACTGGATCCAGTATTTATAATTTAAAAATATAAGGTGATTCTTAAATGTTACCATTTCAACATTACAATTCAGTATTATGATAAAAATAATTCTAAGAATTATAGTATATTATAAGCAATCAGCTTACCACCGTCATTATTTATAAAAGAACTACCCAAACGACTGTTTATAAAAGAAGCATTCAAACCGCCGCGCGTCTCTTGGCTCTTGGCGTTC